CGTACTGAAGAGTTAATTCTCCATTTTCCAGACACCCGGTATAAAGGGATGTATAGGGTGATTGTTAATATGTGGGAATAACTTGAAGATTGTCTGCCTCGAATGAAAATGAGAGAAAAAGCTCTTGTCAATATATACCTAAAAATATACTTTTAACGTTATAGGACAGATTAGTTGTAATAGTTATAGCCAAATCCACTTGCGAGTAGTCACATTTTAATAAATGAGATATGCTACCAAGGTGGAGCATATGACACTTATCTGTGTTAAAGGGAAGAAGCCATTCGTGCGCTCAGTTCGAGATAGTTTTAATGTTAGCATTTGTAAGATCATAACTAACACTGGCATTATACATTTTCGCACCATTTGCAAATAATGACAATGGACCCTGAACAACTCATGGAAAATCGGTTGTATCAATAACAAAAAGGAGAGAGCCCAAAACGGGACCTTGTGGAACTTCGCTTAAGAATTCTTTTTGAAAACTAAAGAAACTGCCAATTTTCTAAAAAGTTTTCCTAAAAGTTTTCTAGGGTCGAAATTCTTGAATCCACTTTAGTAAATAACCCCTGAACAGACGGCGAGTGGGAACATCAAAGTAGGCAACATCGACCAGATTGCCGTTGTCTAACTCTCTAGGCTACAAAGGAAGTTCCTAGATAAACCCATGCTGTTCAGAAGTATAATAAGTTTTAATTCAGTAGGAACTACATGATACGATCGCTGACAATAGATTCCATCACCTTCTCAAGAATACCCCCGGAACTGCAAAGTTCGGGCTTCCTAAGAGATCCATCAAGAGAATCTCGAATATATTTATGGAAGGACTTTGGCTTTTTAATGTCAGCAAGATGAGTTTCATAGGCCACTTTGGCGTCTTTAATCTTAATGGCAAGTAACTTAAAAAAATCTCTATGAGTTGCATAATCCATCCCGTTTCCTGTTGCTTTGTATACTTTCCACAAGCTTCTCTTGGGTTTAACCATCTGTAATAAGTGGTAGTTTATCCATAGTTTTTTGGTCGATCGGGTGAATGTTCTTTAGGCAGAATTTAGAAGAAACGACTCAAGTAAACGTGATTTGAAGACTTCCCAGTTTTTCTACATGGTGACATGCTTTAAAATTAGTGATGGATACCGTGAATATTAGTTATCCTGTGAAGGGTGATTTGTAAGCTGGCTAAAATCGTGACATAATCTGATTTACAGACAGGAATAGTAAACTCTAAACTGGAGAGCAAGCCTAAGTTGGAATAAGGTAGAACCAAGTGATAATTTCGAAGAGAAAGTGGGTATAATCGTTCGCCAAATTAGATATTATGTCAAAGGGTTTGGAATCACTATCAAAATCAGTAGAGGGAACGATTAGAAATATTTTTAATTAAGCAATCGATGCTTAACGTATGTGTATTGTAAAGTGTAAAGTTTGACATCACATGGTCGGATACATATATTATACAAACTCGTGCTCCTCTTCTAAACTACACATTTTTTCTGAATAAATGACAGCCAAAAAAGATATTAAGGCATCATGTAACTTAGGGTATTGAGACACGTTTTAGGAATTAAAACCGATGAAGGCATTTTGACTATAACGAAAGCAGAGAAGCAAAGGGTTAAGTGACGTCCATGGATTGTTGTTACTCTTTCAACTACAACTTTGGTGCATAAACCGTTTTAAGCTTCCGCTGTACATTTAAAGAACGATTTCGTATACTGCTTGAGAAAGCAAAGTAGGGGTAGGTTCGGACCGGACACTGCTTGGGGTTCGCTAGTGTGTTGGCTGGCGAATGACCAGCCTGATGACACTTGATTTGATGACTCATACAGCGTGACAAACATATGACGTCTAAAATTGAATCCCTGCCCTTAATAAAGACATAGGAGAAACGGGAATGGTAGGACATCCTTACGTTCAAATAATAATTATTCACTGTGCAAGTGTAATCAGTCGCCGAATCCCAACTTCTCGGTTGTTTATAGTTAAAGAAGATATTTCGTCACAAACTCGTCTACTAAAAGATTATTCTTCAAATAATTACAGATTTTTGAGGTGAAGAGGACATTTTTGAGCTGGACTAAACTGCCAATGGCGTTGAGTACAACAGTTTAGTCGTTTTTGGGGAAAGTATCATGAGTACCAAGGTAGGTAATGATCATATCGGTGAATATATAGAAAATAACCAGTTCAAGTGTATAACAAAGCAAGTTGCCTGATGCTTAGTTTTCTTGAAACCCAGTATATATCTACTGGGATGTTTTTCTGAACAAGCAGCGACAACTGATTATCCATATGAGGTTAAAGTTGTTAGCTAGGAGTGGACACTTTATCTGCGGCTCCTCCAACCCCTCTCTCTATGTGTGTTTAAAAAAAATGGTCCAAAGTCACTTCGATAGAGCTTCCCTCGTCCTTGAAGTACAGACCAACGAATTCCGCTTCTTTAAAAAAATATAAAAAATGTTTTCTGATAATCTTTATACAGGGTCTCTAGAATGTATGGACACCGTTAAATACTTTGAAAACCAATTGTACAAATTAATTGAAATTATGTTGTGGAGTACAAGAAGTTTTTCGAAATCTGGGCTTTCTTGAGAACCCAACTAGACAAACAAAGTCATAAAAATTCATCGATTCTTTTCGGTGAACGGATGAACCGTGCCAATAGCACCTCTCAACTTCTGCGCCACGGGAAGGCAAATTTCAGTTATTATTTTATCATTATTAAATATCGCTGGGCTCATTCTCTATTTTCAAGAAAATAGGGGGACTCATTCTTAATTTGATGAATAAACAATTCTGTGATGACGTGATTAACATAGATAATACTACTAACAAGCCGGACAGAGAGACAGGCAGACGGACAGACGGACAGACAGACAGACAGACAGACGAAAACGGAAGACCTATTTCTTCGTACTGTAGGGGTCATGAAGGGTCGTGAAAACATAAAAGTAAAGAGTCGTTCGACGGACTCAATTGCAAAAATACAAAAGTGGTCAATAGTTCGATGGATTCAATTACTATATTTCCTTAGCTTACGCTTGGGAAATGTAAGTTGACTACATGACACTTCTAATATATGCACAAAATTTGACAACAATCGGTCCAGCAGTTTCGGAGATTAAGTGTCTAATAAAAATGCATACAGACAGACAGACAGACAGACAAACATACATACGGAAACGGGAGACTACTTTTTTCGTACTGTAGGAGTCAAGAAACGTCAAGAAAATATAAAATTGGCTATTCGTCCGACGGACTCGATTACTATACTTTATTAGCTTACGCTCGGGAAGTAATAAAGATAGGAGCTTCACCAGACATGAAACACAAAGTAAACGGTTATCAGAACTGATACTACAGGATTTGGAAAGAGATATTTTAGTTCAACGCCTCATGGTGCTAGTAAGTATGCCATATATTAACATACATGAAATTTAACTAGACATCAAGGTTCGTTCAAGATGTTCATCCCGGCGTTTCTGTTGCCTTTGTTGTTGGACGTTGAACATACAATGATATGATCATGAATTTGTATACAAATCGGTAGGGACTCTTTCTGTCAGCGGAATTTTGATTGTTGATATACGAAAATCAAGTTAAGAAAAAAAAATCAGAAAGTTATTGGTATTTTCCGCACATTCCGCCGGAAGTTAACAATTTTCTTTTCAAAAAATGACTTTTGAAAAGCGACATTTTCAAAAATAAGGTAATTTAATTTAAATCTTTATTCAGTTTATTTTTTTAAACATTTTTTGGATCTAACCCTATGACTATATTTGACATCACAAAGTAGTTAAGCTAACAGAAAATTTTCAGTCATAACTTTCAAATATTAGCAAATGTTAATTATAAAAAATTCATCAAAAAATACAGATTTTAAATCGTTGATGACTCTACAATAGACGGATCTTTCATTATTTTGTATTTCGTTTATGAAGCTTTATTAATAACCACTTTAATAATGGAATGTTTGTATATGAATTAACGCTGTTGTTGCAAACCATTGTGTAAATCGAGCTTTGTCTGTGTAATATTTTTTATTTATCTTACGACATTAACTTTCTAATATTTCCGACAAAAATTACAATAAAATACATTTTTCAGGATAGACATCTTCATTCATAGGCGTATTTGGTCAGTGGAATTAGCCTTGATATGTGTTATTTATATGACATGACAAATTTGTTATGACTTCCCATGGATAATAAATTATTGTTTGTAATGGTCTCAATTTTCTCATTGACTGTAAACAAGTATACATATGTTTGCATGCATTATTTCCTCCATTGTCCTCGATTGTTCGGGCTGCATTAATTAATTAAATTTTTAACGCAACTTTTTTTAAACTATTGTTCTCTTATATTTAAATTTTCAACTTTATTTCAGATATGTTTTGCAGAATTTATTATGATAAAAAATTCAATCCTCAGGAATGTAACATATTTAGATGAACTGATAAATTACTATTATTTTTTGTAAAAATTCTTGAACACTGAAGCTCTAGCGAGAAAAACAAAAAATTAGCGAAGACGTTAGATAACAGTAAAATGCGTATATTAAATAACGCAAACAATCGGACTTAGACTACTGTAATAATTTGATTAACGTTGCTACTGCTTGAAAATGAAATTTAGCGGAAAATACACCTGCAAGTGCCATATGTTGAAAGTGGGCATTTATGAGATGAGTTTTTAAAAGCAAGTTTTACGAGCAAAAACGTGTTGAATATTATATCCTAGTTTAGAACTAATTAGACCTCCTCCAGAAGCACTCGTACATTCTAAATAGCCACAATTAATTCGGAAATAATGTACAACTCTAAAGAACGAACACCGTATGGAGATAATTAAAAAGCTTTATTCCAACGAATTCCAACTGCATTGCTCGCTCTCTGGATAAATACAAAGTTCATCAAATACTTTTTGCTCATCTTGATAAATCGCGCCGTAAAGCATCCTTTTTTCCGGGATTTATTCTTTGATAAGAACTTTTTATACCTGCTCGTCGTTGATATACCAGGTGAGGTTGGCAGGGGGATCGGACCCTGGTGAGTAGCAATCGGCCTTTATCTTCTTCCCAATCTCCACCTTGGTCTGCTCGATATTCATCATGGGATTACCGTTAGGCAGCTCTGCAAAGGTGACTCGTTTATTAGAATGCTCTGGACAGATCCGCAAAATAAAACATCTAACCTGCAACTATCATGTGAGCCACTTTGATATCCGTGTGAAATAGGGGTGCGTCTGCGGACACTTCGCACTTGTAGTCCCCTGTAAGCTCCCGCCGGACCCCCCGCAGGGTTACCTGTGTCGGACCCGACCGGGATATCTGCAAAAAAGGAACAGGATAGGTCTTATTTATGATATCGGAGAACCGATTTATTGTGAAATTTCAGTGATTTGTGCGGCGTGTCCATCAAAATTCGGAAAAGAAATATCTTTACTGCGATAAAAGTTCGGTCGTCGCAGAATGAACGCATGCAAACGTCGAGTGGAATGCAAAATATGCCGGAGTAAAAGCACAGGGCCATAGTTTTACGAGACGAAAATAACGAGATGGAATTTTGTAAAATTTTGCGTTATTATTCATTAGCTTTGTCTGAATTTTCGTTGTGGACAGTTTTTAACTTTTACATTAGGGTAGATATTTTATATTTTGAAGCCACGTGAGTATGTGTCTATGTGCTTTTTTGCATGATTTCTATCTCTTTCTCTTGCTTGTAAACTCGAGAAATACTCTAACAGGGACGTTTCATGATCCTCAGAGTATATATAAAAAAATTGGTTCCAGTTTCCGTTTTCTGTTATCTGTCGTTTATCTGTTTGTCTGTATTGATATTTATCAGACAGATAATCACCGAAACCACGGGATTAATTGTTGTTAAATTTGATATGTACTTTAGGAATAACGTGTAGATGCTAAAGCGCTCATCAAAATTTTTCTGATCATCCTTACCACCAATTTGATGATGTCACCTAAATATTTTGCATAGTAAATACTATCTAAAGGTTCTAAAATAGCTTGTCTAGCTGTAGTTTATTATATTAGTTCGGGTTAAAATAAGCCTGGTAAACCTTTAATCAAATTGTATATGTTTATTCTCCCCAAAAATATATATACTTGTGGTTTTTCAGTTCATTCATATTTTTTAAAATTGCTTACACAGCATCTTTTAATTCACTATTTTGTGTTGGATATTTGAAATCGATCGGACTTTCACTATTCAAAATAATTTTGGAATTACCTTGTCTTTGTCCATTGTTTTCTTTACTTTATATTATAACAAGAAATTTAAAAATTGTTTAGGATGAATCTGAATCTGAATCAAATTGATGTAAGGAATTTTTCAATTAAAATGACAGAAAATAATGTCTAAGATTTTCTGGCTCCAACTGTATGTGTAATCTTGGAAAGACTGAAATTGAATTTTACGGATTTGAATAAATAAACGGTGGAAATGACACAATTTAAGATTACTAAGTGTTTAAGCAAGTGTAGTATGTATATCAATTCCATCCATCAAATTTTTGGTTTGGATCTAATCGAAATCTCAATTTCAAGCTGTTCTAGTAGCATAGCTTGAAGTAATCACATCTTCAAATCATCACACGTAGAAAGATCTTGTAAATATATGAATAATTTTTAATTACTTAAAAGATTTATAGATAATTATGCGATAGAACAAATGCTGATTTTGTAGTATATCATTAGTATATTGATATTTGAAAGTCACCAATGTGACATTAAAGAGTGGCTAGAAGAAATAAATGAAAATGAATACAACATTCAGTAGTTACGTTTAGCGGTGTTTCTTGTATCCTTATTGCTTGGTTTCCAGGGTCGGATTAGAACGCCTCGCCTCACAAAACAGGATTAATAGAACCATTTTCTTTGTTAGTCCAAAAATGGGCCAGCGAGCATGCGACTATCGACAGCACAGTTCAAAAAGACATCGAAAAAACAATGGTATTTTCGAGGAAATCACAGAAGGACAAAAGCTCTTAAGCCCAATCTAAAACTAAATTCCTAGAAGCGTCGATGCAGTTAACAAATAATAATTAAGACAATCTCTAAGTAAACAATAATCGGGCTATCATGTGAGCAACGAAAGAAAATTCAATGGTTAAAATTTTAAAAAACAGGTTTGTAAATATCTTCGACAACTGGCAACAATCAGTCTTTTGGTATAAATGCACTTCTATTGCAATAAAAACGTTGATTAACGTTTCGAAGTCAGAAGGCAACGTTTGTTTTCTCAGTTATTGTGCGCTTAGTAAAGTTCAAGAAAACGGACGGTTTTTGGTTGAAAACGACATCGAAGAACACAACGTTAGAGTGGAAGAAAATGGTTGGGAAAGGATTCTAGTATGTACGGCGACGATGACTCATTGTCGGTGATGACGGCTGAGCGGCGCTCTCTAGGGAAAAGCCTGGAAGCGGAAGTCGCGATGGATTTCAGAAAGACGCTGATCGCCGCACAACTAGAAGGAACTGTGACTTTAAATAGAGGCCACCTTCGGGAACGCGTCAGTCGAGTGTAGTCCAGACAACGAGAGCTCAATTAACAAGTCGAGTCCAACGAATGTCGAGAAAAACCCAGTGAATCTTGTGGGAAATTATTTTGTACATAATCGCTTCGTAAATAGTCGTGTAAATCCGAGTTACTAAGAAGTGTATTGTTGAGTTTAACCGACGCCGATTTTAATACCCGTTCAACGTAACAATATTAAACAAAACAAAAACAAATTAAAAAAAAATCGAGCTGACCAAAGACTAGTAATATATTATTACCGGTTTCTATTAAATGCCTGTTTACATTTATAAAAGTTGGCTGGTAGGAAAGCCATAACCAGGCTTCGGCATCGCGCTATTGTAGTCGTGGTTTACAACTTCGGGAATTCCTAATAACAATTACTACTTTTCGATGTTTTCCTCAGTTATACGAGTTCTAGATGTTAAAATTGCTTTAAAAATTAAAAATGACTGTTCAACGTCAAAATTTTTGTGATGATCTTGATCACATAAACCTTGAGTCTTGAAGTGAATCAAACGCCACTGAGGTTGAGACTGCACAATCGGCTAGCCAAATTTAACGCCTGACGTCGCGCCGTCGTATTTAATATTTGTCTGATTGCTTCCTCATCACTTCGGCTTTGCCTAACTCTGGCCATAAATGTATCCTGTATGTAAAATGCCAACTGTCAACTTTGTCAAGGAATTGCAAAGTAATAAATGTGAAAACCAATAACTGTAAGTTACTTTATTTAAACTGTTTAATGCTTGACTGGCTGCATTTTTGACATTTTCAGGCAATAAATCCACCATTTTTCTAATTTTGTTCACAATTTTTTTTTGAATAAACAACAAAATGTAACCATGGGAAACATCTCATGATCAGGTCTATTTTTTTCAAAGCAAATTGCCTGTTTTAATTGTTTTCAATTTTTGGCTCAATGAACTAAATCCGTTGAAACTTTGAACATACAACGGATGTAACAATGTCATAACAGCCCTAAATGTCTCAAAATCCTCGCTATCGCTCGGATTACGAATTTACATTTGCGGCTGTTATGATTTTTATTACATCCTAGGTATGTTAATTGCTATAGATGTAACCAATGATGCAGTAAAAAAAAGTTGGAGGGAAAATAGAAGAAATAGAGAACAGCGAACTATAATACTCAATGCAGATCACAATCGGAGCGAAGGTCAGAAATGACCTATTTTTAGCCACAAAAAGCATATATATCAGAGGATGTTTTTCAAGTAATCTGCTGAAAGGCTCTTGCAAAATTTATCCGTTCGGAGTTAGCCTGAAAAAGTTTCTTCGACAAATCTCAGAAAACTAGACCTTTTGGAATTCATGTATAAGCATGATTTATATTGGAGAGGGTTGTACAAAAAAAAAATAGTTAGTAGAGGTTTTCTACACAAAAGAATACGCCAAAAATTATGTACCCGATGAAGAAGTTCTTCGTTTGTCACCTTACCATTGGGAATCTACAGAATTACACAAAGGGTTTGGAGTGTTCTAGAGGGAAAAATCCAAAAATTTAGTAGCAAAGCCATTCAAGTAATTAAAAGTCTTGAGTCATCGTTATGACACCATTAATAGAGGAATGGTTCAACTGCGTAGATGGTAAAAATTGAAGATGAAGATGAAGATGAATACTGTTTTGCGCTTTCCTCCAGTACATACCCCTATTTAAATATGCGAAATAAACAAAATATACCTTGCAATTGTTTTAAGTTGTACATAATCACAAAATATAAAAATAATACTCCTATGTATAACGTTCATTTCAATGTGTTGACACTGATCTCTTCGCAGGCAAGGAAGCTTGGCGGTATACAAATTTTTATTGATGTTTGAGGTTAATCACACTATGAAGGATCCTAAAAGTTGGAACAAAATACCTCAGTCATTTTCACTTATTTCTAGTCGTACGTAAAATTTTTAACATAGAGAAGTATGAAATGAAATCTTAATGTCAAAAGTCATATTAGCGAATTTTTCAGTATAGCAGGTAACTTAAAACAACGGTTTTATAGTTATATATAGTATTGTTATGAAAGAAACCCATACGCCACCCCGGTACGACGCCTATGGGCCGTTGAGAGCTTTCTAGTAGGTATGCACGGCAATAACGGGTGGCTCATCGTTGGTGACGGCGGGCGAGCGGTGTTCAAAAAGCCTGGAAGCGGAAGTCGCGACGGGTATTCGAGAAAGGCCTCGATCGCAGAAGTATGAGTTTAAATAGAGGACACCTTCGTGAACGATTATGATTCAGCCAGTTGAGTGAAGAGAGTCCAGTCAAATTGCGCTGGAATTGTTTTGTGCATAATCGCTGTAATAGTTAGTCGTGTAAATTCGACTGTTGAAGGACGTGCTATGTAATGTATACCTGAAGGAAATGCCATTTTTACACGTACTGTAAGAAATAATTCGATATTTATCCTTCTTAACCGTTAAAAAATTAATACTATACACCAACTAAGAAATTGTTTGTGTCTTCTTGCAATAGAAAATAATTGGCATAATTTGAAATTCGACGAAGTATTTTGACATCATCAGCAAACATGAGGACTGGAGTGTTTAAGCGAGTCTAAAACATTGTTGATCTAAAGACAGAACAATAATAAAGGACCTAACGTAGATCCCTGTGGTGTACATGGAGTGGCAGTATAACAATAATATGAAATGAAGTCATTGTTGTAACTGAAATCAGATCGTAGAGAGATATGGGACAAAGAGAATTAAAAGAGAAGGACAAAATCCAAAGGTTTTAATAACGCAAAAGAGAGAAAATGAAATCGTAAAAGTACCA